TTCGATTATCGGTATTTTGTTTTTGTTATAATCGAACACTGTTTGTCATGTGCTTGCATTAGGAGCCAATTTGGATTAGTAGTTTGTTTTTGACAACAGAAAAGGTAAGTCACGTTTTTGTATGCTCTTCGATTTTTGACTTTTGAAAGAAATGGATCAAAGAATATATATTAAATTTTGCGTTAAAAATGGAATAAAGTTTTCCTAGGCACTTGAAATATTGACTGTGGCATTCGGTGAGTCCACTTTGTCTCAAAAAAGTGTTTATAAGTGGTATAAGCGGCTTATCTGCCACTTTTTCCCATTCCGAAAACTGAAGAAACCAATGAATAGAATAGATTAGAAGAAAATGAGAAAGATGCACCTCGACCTAGGGTCTATTGTGCCCTCCCCTAAGTCACAACGACTCATTTAGTCCCAGCACATTGATGAATTCCAATGTACTGCAAGGATACAAGGGCCTTATTTCTGCGTGTGCAGATTGCTGTACAGTCTATTAGCATATGTTCTAGGGTTTCCGGCTCCATGTCGCAGAACCGGCAGTTTACACAAGAGGCTAAGCCCATGTTGTATAGATGCTTCTTAAGCTTACTATGACTGGTGTAGAACAGCTAGGTAGGTAGAGTGGCTGTCTAACGACGCACCTAGGCCTATAGGAGGCCCATTGTAATACCACCGGGACTAATGTTCCCTCACTCTATCGTCTCCTCTCTGAACCAACCTGTGCTCCTGATGAAGATCATCAGTACAAATAATTTTATATTATCAACTTCTGATATGTAGTCAAGGAACCCACGACCTATAGTTGCGATTCTTTTTCTGTATAGAATTTTACATTCGCATAGAAGATATTTTACATACTCCTCTTCTTCTACTTCCTGACAGCTTCTACAATAGTCGTTGTAAGGTACACCTGCTGGCATGTCTACCAATTAGACAGTGACCTGTTAGTACTCCTATCAGAGTTCTTATGTCATTCCTCTTTTTCAGGGATTAATTGTGGAGTGGTACCTGTTCTGGCTAGTTCATCTGCTTCGCAGTTACCAGGTATATCACTATGCCCTGGAACCCATTGCAGGTTTATCGTGAAATATTGTAGGATGTTAGATCCTTTAATAGATCAAGACGTTCTTTCATTATCTTTGATGAGACCATAGGAGACTTGAGTGATTTCAAGGTCGCTTGGCTATCTGTATAAATATTATATATATGCTCCTTGTTGTGAGTACACTTTTTGTCAATACAGCAAGGCTTTCTTTGATTGCTGTAATCTCCATCTGGAAAACACTGCAGTGGTCTGGTAACGAAAGGCGATTTTGGTGTCTAATGTTGCAGAGAAGGCACCCGCTCCAACTCGATTATCTAGTTTGGATCCATCCGTGTAGATGCTAATTCCTGCATTCCTGTCCACCTCGTCCCTTTCCCACTCCTCTCTGGTGGGGAAGGCAATATTGTGGACCGAATTTAACTTCAATTCTATTGGATTGCGGAAATCCGTGGTTTTGGGTAGAAACGGGAACAAACTAAGTATTCTAGAGTGTCCTTGTTGTAGGCGATTAATTGGGAGGATTCCCTTAGTCTGAGAGCTGACTTTGCTGCTACTTGCTTACAGAACAGGTCTGTTGGCAAAAAATGTAGAATGACGTTTAGTGCCTGGCTAGGTGTTGTTCTAAGAGCTCCACTAGTGCATATACTGGCTGCTCTTTGTATACTTTCCATACGCCTCACCGCGTATTTCTTATCCATTATTCGCCACCATACCAATATACCGTATGTCATGATTGGTCTGACAACTGCTGTATAGAGCCAATAAGCTATCCGAAGTGCTAGCTCCCATTTAGGGCCATCCTTTTACAGGTGTAGAGTGCTGTGGCTGCTCTCTTCCCCCTAGCATCCAAGTTTTGGTTCCATGAAAGCTTGCTGTCTTAGATTAGTCCTAGGTAGCTTGCCTTATCTCCAATTGTTAGTCTGCAACCAGTTAATAATGGCGCCGTAACTTCTGGAATGTTATGCTTTCTGGTGAATAATACTAGCTCTGTCTTACCAGCATTTGAGTTTAATGCGCACGATACAGCCCAACTGTTTATATCGTCCAAGATCGTTTGCATAAGGTTTGCGAGAGTATTCGGGAATTTACCACTAACCGATACTGCCACATCGTCAGCGTAGGACTCCTTCTTTTCTAGATCCCACAGCAACTTATTCATTTTCAGGATCCAGAGAAGTGGGGATAACACGCCTCCTTGAGGTGTACCCCTTTGGACGGATCTGCACATCGTTGACGCTCCCAGCATTGAAATTATTGACTGCTCGTGAGCATCTGTTCAATTAATTTTCTGAGAGGTTCGGAGATGTCCAGATATTTAAGCGCACTCAATATGGCCCTAGGCTGGATGTTATTGAAGGCTCCTTCTATATCTAAGAAGGCAATTAGAGTGTATTTTTTAACTTCCAGAAATTTTTCAATCTCCGCCACCACAGAGCTCAGCGCCGTTTTTATGGATTTCCCTTTAGAATACGCATGCTGCGAACCAGCTAACTTATCTGGTTTTAGGTTGTTTATTATATGTAGTTCTATTAGTCTTTCCAACGTTTTTAGAAGGAATGAGGAGAGCCGAGGTAGAACAAGTAGCCGGAATTTATTTCTCGGAAGATTGATTACATTTTTAAACATGCTGAGGTCGTAACCACCCATTAGCAACCTGGCATAGTGCATGCCTTGAAGTTTTTGTCAATGTCTCTCCCTATCTACTCTTTCCTCATACGGAGCAGCTCCTTTATGGTATGTGGACCAATGGGTTTCAAGGTTCTCGTCCTACCATTCTGGTGGAGGCTGTAAAGCGGGGCAGCTCGAATACCGCTGAGTATGACAATACTTTCATTGCGATGATTGCGATGGAGGTTTATCTCTATATACCGACTTATAGAATAGACTTCCGCTTGGAAGATGCTTGGAAAAGTTCCCATGGGGATGGAGAGTTTGGTGCGTGGTCCTGCCACTCCTGCACCAATACCCTCCGACGCTTTCGACCCGTCGGTGTACCACTTGATAGTGCTTTCCTTTAGCAGTAGGTCTAGCGTGGAATCATTCCATTCCGCCTTACTGTCAAGGTTAACTTTGAACTTCTTAGTGAAGCTAACAACTTTGGTAATGCTGACCTTGACGATATTACCTTCCCTCTGCCAAAACCTTCTGCTGTCATTTGAAGCAGTGCTGCTGTCGGACACGTACGCATTGCCTACCGAAGTCTGCGATGTTTCGAAACCCAAGCCACCGCCCCATATGTGATAATCGGCCACTCGATCATGGTGTATGCATGAGTGCTTTCGTAGCCTTGACTAAGGTCAGATCCACAACTCTCTGCAGCCAAGGAACAGATTTCTGAGGCCTGGAAGCTGGCTGGACCTGCATCTTGTAAACGGAATGATTGTAGTTTAAATGGGGTTGAGACCCTACAGCGTCGTACGGCACATCCATCTGCGTTGTGGTGCTTCCACACTCCTTTTCTCTAGTGCTCTTGCTTTCGTGAAACATATTGCCAAAAGCAGCTTCGATGTATAGGAAGGCGCATAAGATCACCTCGCCCCCATCTAACGAACTTTGTAGAAGAGCAGTAGTTGATCTGCCTGCTCTGTAAGCATGCTCCTCCGCCATCAGCACCTTTGATCGTATTTGGTAATCAGTGATCTTTTCCATACTTCTCAGTAAAAAGTAAGTTAGACTAATTGGTCTAAAAGATTTCTGCAGTGAAGAGCTGTTTTACGACTATCTAATCTAAGCGAGATGGCTTGTGTTCAACCACAGGTATAAGCTGGTCTTCTCGGATTGTTTCCGGGAAATGCGCAAGAAGAGCCGTAGTTTTTCTTCTGCGCTGGACGTATAGGTTCCATCCGATCTTTTAATGGCTAGTACTGTGTCCGTCTTGCCTCTAGTCAGAGCCTTATGCAGCCTTGCTGCCTCTGGTGTTGAGGAGACGTCTTCACAGAACTTCTTGAAACTCTTCGGCTTTAAGACAGCAAAATTTTCTTGTGGTTCGCAGCTGCACTTGTAGTCCTCCTAGTCCCCGGTACGCTTGGCCTTGTTAATAGCGTACCGTTTTCCTTAGTTCTGAGAGTCTACTTGACCGTAGTCACAGCAGTTGCAGTCTGTGCTGGGCAGCACTTCCCACCCCAATTGGGTGCCTTGTGACTTAAGCACCTGCACCACGGCAAAGTGCCTGCCATTCGCAATGGGAAACCAATGAAATTAAAGCGTTTTGCCACAATTGATGAGATCAAGTCAGAATCGAAGAACGAGCTGATGACCATACCGAAAAACGCATTTCAGAAGTGCTTCAAGGATTGGAAAAAGCGTTGGCATAAGTGTGTTATATCCAAGGGGATTACTTTGAAGGAGACAAAAGAGATATTGATGAATAAATAAGTCCTTTTAAAAAATATTCAAAATTCACCTTTTCCTTTGAACACGCCACGTATATAGACCGTAATGGAGAATATTTTGAAAAACAATAAAGGGATTCTCGATGATTAACATTTGTTGTTGTTCTTTAATCCCGAAATATTAAAGGCCACCTACTTACATATATATCATATAGCTGCACCAAAACTGACCGATCAAAATCATAGATCTTTTCTTTCCATTTATGCAATCGGAAATGTACCTGTGAAGGGTATTATAGCTTCGGTGCTGCCGAAGTTAACGTTTTTTTAAGTAAAATTTATATGTGCTATATAAAACATGTGAAATTGTTGGAAGAAACCTAACTTCACCATTTAAATCCGGTGACTTTCACGCAAATATAAAAATGTTCAGAGAATATAGAAGCCAAATATTATATATATTTATATTTTATATTTTCAATGAAAACTTTCCTTCATATTCATAAAAGATTTCGGTCATATATTATATCTGTGGAATCACAAATAATATAAACGTGTTATATTCACAAACTTAATGTTTACTTAATCAATACAATCTTAGTTACGAAGCTGTTAGTTACCTGTGATTCCAAAACCTCACTATTTGAAGTCAAATTTTGACGTTTCCTAAACGCTACGCCACATCTAGTAAATAAATATATTATTATCGAATATCAGCAATATTCAGAAGACAGGTGGTAAATGCATCTGAATATAGCCCGCGAACGCATCAGCTGAAATAAATAAAAGTTGAAAGATTTTTTTTTACAAACTTCTTTACAGCGTCGATTCAGGTAGCAAATGTCACAAACAATTTAAAATGCCATTTTTACAGTGACGATTTATTTGTTGACATGTGCGCGAGACCAAACCAATACAAACTGTTATACAAGTACGAGCGCAGTGTTGATAAAACTGAAGTAGAAAGAGATATGCTAATGTAGCTGCGATCCACGAGATGTTAGCGCTCGTTGACTTGAATACAGTTTAGATTGTGGGGAAGGTGGTTTATGTATATACGTACTTATGTATGTATGTTATAGGGGGACTTTTTAGAGATGTAGAATTTTTATTTCAATGGTCTACAATTCGGATTTATTAGTTCGCAAGTTTTATGGGAATATGAATTTCCATATTGTGCACAACTTTTTCTACCCTGAACAGGATATATTAAGCTTCATGCCGAGCTGAGTCGATTCAGCCATATCCGTCTGTCGGTCATTTGTCGGAATCGGCGATATCGGACCTCTATAGCATATAGCTACCATACAAGTACAAACTGAATGATAGGATTAAGTTCTTGTATGAACAACTTTTTCATTTGACGAGATATCTTCAACAAATTTGACATGCTTTATTTTCTAAAGCCATGGCGCAATCTCTCTATAACATAAAACACTGAAATTTTCCTTCCAACTGGTTAGTCGTAGCTGGTTTATCAGCAGAGTGTACATACTTGACGTACTTCCCCAAATGTATTTTTCTGTATACAAGAAAACATGGTGAGTCGTTTCATAGTTGTTTCCACTCTGTAAGGCGGTTTTCCAAAGCTTTATCCAATTCGCGACCCGCAAAGTCATGAACGACACAAATTGTTCAAAGTTTCATATTAATTTCAATAGGGGGAAAAGAAAGAAAGAGTTCTGTTGCAGAAGATTGCCAAATTTTCCGATTTGTCCAATAGTACAACAACAAAACACACGCAAAAACAATAAGCAATGGCTACAAAACATGACAAAGCGAAACCCATGAGGCGTAGCAAAATAGTTGCAGCGCTGTGATAATTCTGTTTCTCCAATGGTATATTCTCGTGCTCTTGCTTATTTTGGTAAGGATTTTTTCATAATAAATGTCAAACAGTCGAATTTACTTTGACAGCTCACTTGTCAGCTATCCATAACTCTGAAAAGGTACCCTATAAATAGACATACATTGGTGAGGTATAGACAGAGACAACCGTGTCGTAACCAAAGCGGGGTGAATGAATAGTTTGGTTGCATGCAAAGCTTGAAAGTTACATGCGGACAAACATATACACACACACGAAAGCAATAAATTTCCGCATATCAATATAAAATCGCTAAGCGAACGATTTGTACATATGTACATAGTATTGTGTACAAACTATTTTCATCGAATTCGAAATAAACAAAGGTGCTTACAGTAGCATTACTTATCCTTATTACTACATCCGCAATACCTTTGCGGACATTTCCACAATACTTAATAATATTTTTTACGGCCGATTCCATCTTCATAAAATTCAATAACATCAAATGTGATATCTTTTGTGCCTTTCTTTCGTTTTGTGCGCATTTTCCATTACTAAAATTGCCTCCGATGGCGTTTTTCGCTCTTTACCGCACACCGCCTACCATTTTGTTGTCTTTCAAAACTCAATTTGCGCCAATAAATCGCCAGTGAAATTTTTTGACAGTTTACGCGGTCCAGCGTGGTGCGGCAACGCCGTTTATATGGCGCGTATAAATCTTGATTTTGATATATGATTGCGTTTCCTTTGATTGTCGGTCAAATCGCTCCAACGCAAGCAACTCAAATGTACTTCGCTTGGAATTGTCGCGAAGTCGGTCGAAGTGGTCACCGATGTGTTTGCGGGATCAATGGACTACTAGCGCAGCATTGTTGTTGCTTCGCCTTGCCGTTTTTCGGTAAATACACATATTTAGCATTGTTTGTTTATTTTTTGCCGTTTAACATTCCACGAATACAACAACAAGGACAGCATTAACAACAGCGCGGAGTAGACCATAGTCATAACCCGGCTACTGCTACTGCTTGGTGGAATCGGAGAGGGTCTTCGAGTGTTCTGTCCGCTTGTCATGCTCTGCTTTCGCCGCTTTACATACGAGTACATATCGGCACTACCGTTGCAATACTCTTTCAATAGTCATTGTATTCAATTTGGCTACTTGTTTGTTATCGCCTTTTTGCTGTCGCTTGTTGTCTTGTCGTCGCTATGTCTGTCAGCGGCAGTTAAAGGCGGTCAATTGCGATGTTTTGTAATCGATTTTGGCTTCTGAATACAAACTTTCGAGGTGTGCAAATTTGGTACATATTGTATTTTACATTTATATGATTGTATGTACATATGTGTCTGTGTAGAGGTGTAATGTGTACCTGAAAAGCTTAATGTAACTATACGATATACCATACAAATGGGAAGAGCCTTAAGTCTTTTAACAATTCCTATGTATTTTTCTGTCAAGCGCACTCAAAAATAGTAACGCCAAAAGATGAATTTGCTTTGACACCTGACTTGACAGCTATCCCTCTAGTATGGACTCTCAGAAAGTTCACCAATGTGATGCTGTGTTTCTGAAAAGTTTAAAGTGTACTCTTCTGTTAATTTTTGTTAATTTAACTAAAAAAGGCAGAGAATATTATCTCAATTTTGATTAGATGACGATTGTAATTCGCTTTCTAAAATCCGGCTATGAAACCCCTTCTAATAATTGGCCGCTGAGATCAAATACTGCCAAAACTCTGGCAATATATCAAACTTTAGGTGGAAAATTTGATTTAGTTAGGGGTCTGATATTGATATTGACAATCTTCAATCAATATCAGTTAATCGTCTAAACGACCTTTATAACCATCTCACTCTAATATATGTATGTGGGAGAAGTGTGAACTATGACTCTTTTGGGATATTGGACAGACTCTGAAAAAAACTATTTTATTATAATATAGAGAGAGCAACACAATTTTATTCAAAAATAATGGAAATGATAAAAGAGAAAGCAAACCATATTAAAAATGATTAAAAGATTCAATCACTGTCTGATTCGATCGTTTGTATATCAATTGATGAAGTGGTCGGTGTTTCCGGAATTGTTGAATACAACTTCGGTTTGACGTATTTCTTTTGTTGATTTATTTTTCGAAGAAGCTCGGGGTGCGATTTTAAGTGGGTGAAAAATTTCAAACAAGAAAACTTTAAATTATTCTTCACAAATAAAATCTATTTCACGGTGCTGACTTGTAAGCGACCACATTCTGTTAATGGTGGAAAATATGCGTTCCACTGGTGCCGATGTTCCTGGTAGCGTCAGAGCATATTCAACGATCTCTGAAAGCTCAACGAATGGTATGTTTTGCTTCAACAGAAAATAAAACATTGAACCCAACGTTTGTTAACGGATGTTTGCTCTTTGCTCCATTCATCAATTCGTATGTCACCTATATACTGAGAAATATATGGTACATAAGTGAATTGTTCGAACAGCTTATGTTAAGTAGTTTCTGATGCTATTTGCAATCACCTGACATATTGAAGACAATTAAAAATGGAGGTGTTTGTAAATTGCAACTGCTGGAATATCATCGCCTTCAATTTTCTTTATTGTTCTTTCGAAAATCATGGCCTAAAATTAATAAGATAATAATTAACTGACATTTTTCCAAAATAGTGGATTACTGAAAAAATTGCGGATACATCTGGCTTTTTTGATGGGTGAGGGAAGGTCGTCGAAATACGTTTTAAAAAGATGGAGCATTCGAATAATCTTCCCCAAAGCTTCTCTCAAGCGAATGAACCGAGTTTTGCAGTAACCAACCAGTTGATCGTATTCGTCTTCAGAAATCTCGCAGATTGACTTTAATGCGTCTGTGCGAATGGTGTGGATGTAAAAATGTGTGTACGACTTTTCACCTTGTGAAAGTTCAATTATTTTAACATTCACTCCAGATAATGGAGGAAAATAACGAATGGCGGCAAGAAACATCTTGATTGCTTTACGATTGGAAGCGTCGGTCGACAAACAAATTAATCGGGGGTTTGTAAATCAGACTTGAGGCGATCCAATGCGTATGGTGCAAAGACATTGGTTATTATCGCTTCACTTTTTGCTCTTGAACACAAACATTTTTTCATTTGAAAACAGGTTCGAAAAATTTTGGTTGCGCAGTCGATTGATCTACAATAAAAAGTTTGAAAAAATTCGAATCGGACGATAACTGCTGTTTTTTTTTTAAATAACAAACCTGAAATTGTTATTTTCATCAATTATGTGGTACGCCCACATGCCTTCTATCGTCGATAGATTCAAATCTGGTTTATCTGCGATGAAAAAATCTGATATGATTGAAGCTTGAAGAGAAGCATTTGCTGCCACTTTGAGCTTCTTTGTCTTCAAATAATTTTCAATATCTTTGCCCGAACCAACAGCAACCGAAAAAATTGCATTACATTTGTCGCAACGAACGTTCGAATCGTCATAAATGACTCTCAAAAAGAATATTTTTTCTTCAAATTATCGTTTAAAACACACTTTCATTTCGACATTTTATAAATTAATATTTATTCGTAAATATTTATGCTTCAAATTCACAAAATTATCTTATGTTTCACTTTGAATGTTGATTGAAAGTAATGAGCTGTCAGTGAACAACGCTACGTTCGCGCCAAAATTGACTACAGAAATCAATACATTTAAACCGAATGTAGAATGTAGAAATAGATAATGCAGAGTGGGCCATCTACATTGTTGAATTTTTGTTCCGTTTATTGAGAAAGTTTCTTTTTTTTTAATTTCTAAGCCCGGGACGGCCGGGACGAATAACTCGGAATCCTGTCCCGAAAAACCGGTACGAATGGTTAGCTAATATTAAACGAAATTTTAAGAGAAACAAACAACAGTTTTCTCAGCTTACTTCCAGTCAATGGCGTTCTGGCAGTTAAGCCTATTTAAAATAGGGACCTCCAGAAATCAGAGACAGTCCTATTTATCCAATCTTGATCGTAACATATACAACATGCAAAGTGTCCCCGCATGGTACTAATTACCTAAATATATATAATT